ATGTCGGCATTGTCCTAGTAAAAGGAGAGGATCTTCTTGACATATCAGTGGTCCTGGAGGAACAGATCATTCTGCATGGCATCAAAGACAACTCGCATGCGGTAGCTATGTTAATGGTTCTGCTATATGCACTGAACATTGACTACCCGAAGGAGCTGCAATATACCTTCAAAGTCATTCAGAAGGTTCTCATGAACATCGACCGTGAGCACTGCTCTGCAAGGGTTCATGGACTGAGGAATAGACTTCTTCGTAAAACTGTGTAGACACTACACTGAGACTGAGAGTTTTCTTTTAAGTTCTGTTCCACTATTGTAATGGTCACTGACATTCTCAGTTGCAAGAATTTAAGACCTTTTCCACGATGTTCTAAGTTGACATTAGTCATAACCTTTGTCTACAAGGGTTTGAGGTCTTTCCTGGAAAGTCTTTTTGACTTGTTTTGGTCTGCATAATTTTATTTTTTATTTTTTTTTCATGTTATGAAAGACAGCGACAGAAGTAATGAGTAGAGAGTACTCATTTGTGCACATTCTAAAGAGGAGATGTTTTACCCAGTAAGCTTGTTGATGTGTTTACCTTGCCCATCTGGTTTATTAAAGCTTTGAAGAACTGGAATTGATTTGGTTTCTTTGGAACAACCAATAACCTATAGAGATAAGATCTTTAAGCATAATCTAAAATAAAGTTGAAAGAGAATTACCAAATATGTAGTATAAATTTAATCTTAAGCAGAACTAAATTATGAAAGTTGACTCAAATATAAATGTATAATGAAGTTGACATAACATAAAGTTAGGTAAACTAGATATTGTAGGTAGACTGAACTGTAGATTAATTATTATTTTCAGTTTTGGAATTCCAGTTGAAAGAAATTAAGATTGTGTTCACTCAACTAAAGAATTCTATAGGAACTGAATTTTGATTAAGTTATGTAAACTAAAAGTTAAGTTTATTTGACTAGAAAAGTTTATTTGTTTTGAATCATTACACAATTGTCTCAACTATTCTTCACAAGTTCAGCTAACTTCAAATTTTAAGGCAGCCCGGACACTAACTTTTGTTAGTTGAAACAACTAGTTTTTTTTTTTTTTTACAGTGTACAGTGTCATAATACCATGTGCACACTTTTCAATTCCAAAGACAACTCATATTTTAATGGTTTCACTTGTAGTAACCTCTCATTAAGTTACCTCAGGTCATGTGTTATCAGCGTTGTCAGTGTTATTAATCAGTATTGTCAGTGTTGTTAATTTGGTATCTGCTGTGTCATGCTTAAAGGATCCAATGCCTTTATTTTCTGATAGCAGCACAACCTGGGAATAAGACACAATCCTCATTTAATAAAGGTTTTTGATACCAAAAGTGAGGGGAAAATGGGGAGAGTCCTTTTTTTGGTTTGTTTGTTTTTCTTTTATATCAAATATGGTTTTAATACATCAGTGGTTTTTAAACTTTTTGTGCCCAAGGCCCACCAAGGGGCAGCCGAATACCTCTAGGCACAGCTGTATTCATATCCATGCATAATGGGCTCTATAATACCATGCTATCACTTTGTTATTGTTCATTTTTATCTACTAATGCCAAGTTTGACAAACAACTACATGTATGTTACTCCTGAAATATTTATTAACAAAACAATTCAAGAAATAATTTGAAACTTTGTAAAGTTACATAAAGGAGCAACACACCCATGGACATCGACCCTGGCATCTGTATATAAAAACAGCTCATTCTAAGGTAACAAAAACACAACAATTCTTATTTTCAGGTGATTATACACTAATGAAAACATACCTATAATTATTTTCCATTTCTACCAATAGATCCTCCTAAATGTCACACACTGGACCTTTAAACCAGAGTGACAGAGAAGGGTAGATCTGGCCTGAGATGGCAGCCTTGGTCGAGCAAGATGAAACCACTCTTCAGAGACCAAGCAAAGAAGAAAGAGAGCTTAATTGAGAATTAAAATGAACCTAACCAACAAAGAAAACGAGTAGGCCTACTAGCCGAGTTCCCATAATGTGGGTGGGAAGAAAACTAGGTGTCAATCAAGGCCTTGGAAAACTATGTAAAACTACTGGTGTGTCTACTGAATGTTTGAAATCTTTAAAAAAAAAAAACTATGAGATAGTTCAAATGTAATTGTAGGTTTTGAAATTCCTGTGGTATGTAGTTACATTTTTTAACGTAACACATTCATACATCCATGATTAGTTTAGGAACTAAACTGTGATGGTAAGATAGTAAGTGGAGGTAAAATGAATGGTTCAAAAACACTGCAATCATGGCACCAAACAGGAACTATTGGGAGTGTGGACCAGGAGGATGCTTGGTCCACCAAATTAGCTCTGGTTCTTGAACTGCAGAAGTAATACTTTACATTCATAATAGCCCAGCCATATGACCTCGCTAAGTTGAAAGGTGGTCAGGTGTTTTCTGTTGCACCTGTGACCACACCCAGTGTGTACTGCGACATTGCACAATGCATTGTTAACAGTGAACAGGGTGTGAATGGAGCATACTTCAAGGGTTATTGGAGACCGCAGCGCAGGCAGGAATTTCAGCCTCTGCTCAGTCTAGTATGTCTCAGTATGTGCATGCATAAAATATACGTTAATATCAACACCGTCTGCAATTACCCAGTGGTTCTGTCCTTCATGCTTCATTAAGCTGAATTCATTTTCATCAACCTTTCTTGTGGAATTTAGTGACAAAAAAGCTAAATGGATGATGGGATGGATTTTATTGATATAAGTAAAATAACATTACAATGATACAAAATGAACTTTCCTTTTGCTGAAAGAGTAGACAAAATGTCCTCCCACAAGAGATACCCAGTCATATTGTCAGTGTATCTGTTGGTCATTTGATTTTCTTTTTCAGAAACAGGTATTGAAGGTCCAGTGTGTAACATTTAGGAGGATCTATTATCGGAAATGTAATATAATATTCATAGGTATGTTTTAATAAGTGTATGAAAAAAAGAATTGTTGTGTTTTCATTACCTTAGAATGAGCCATTTATATCTTTATATCACCATGTTGAACCACCATGTTTCTACAGTAGCCCAGAATGGACACACCAGACACACACTGTTGCATGTCCACAAGTGCATGAAGTGTGTATTTCAGCCTGTGTGTGTGTATAAAAAAAAAAGAGTGAAAAGAACAATTTCCCCTAGGGGATTAATAAAGTATATCTAATCTAACACTGTCCGGTCACTGAAGTTTCTCCTTCTTACTTCACAGCTCATTTTCATTCCCAGGTTGTCAAATGCATCTGTATTTGAGTGGTGTTCAGTTAATTCCATATTATTTAATAATTTTTCCTTAATATGAAAGGTAAATAAAAAAAATGGGGTAAATAAGACTAATTTTTTGGGAAAATTTACCTCTGACTCCTCACACCTGCCAGCTCAGTCCCTCACAGGCTGAATGACTAAATTGATCAGTTATTTAGTTTAATGAAGATATCTTTGGTTGTATATATATGTATATATATATTTTAAACATATTGGCCAAGAATTTCACAATTGGTGCAACCAGTTATTTGCACAGATGGAGATGTTAGAACACAATGCACAGACTGTACTGATATACTGTATAAAGGTCAGCATTGGCCAACAATCACACATGTCTTCAGTGACAGCAGCGTTTGAGAGACAGCCAGAGAGAGCAAACTCCAATGATTGAACGTTGACGCGTTCAAGGTGAAGTCAGTAAATCAGACTGACTGCAGTAATGTATTAATTGATAAAAAAAAAAGTACTAGCAAAATTTAGTCATGCTGCAATATTACCTCAAGGAATAAAAGAGCTAATATGGAATTACGGAATGTTTGCTGTGATGGTCAGTGCTCACACGTTACACAGATTTAAGTGTCAAGATGCTCTAGAGCTTAAAGGGACATACACAGATAGTTGCCATATAGAAGAACCCTTAGATGTGGCATATTGCATTATATTTCTACAACAACAATGGTGCTAAATGGTATCTACAAGTGATTATGTGATTATTTGCTTTGAGGACTGCTCGCACACTGACAGGGCACACCGGAACGTTAGTTACTTTGCCTGGCTATGTACTCTTGTAAAAAGTTTTTTTTTTATATACACTGCTGTGATAAATTCAATTCAATTCAATTCAATTCAATTCAATTCAATTTTATTTGTATAGCGCCAATTCATAACAGAAGTTATCTCAGGACACTTTTCAAATAGAACAGGTCTAGACCGAACTCTTTATAACATTATTTACAGAGACCCAACAGTACCACCATGAGCAAGCACTTGGTGACGGGGGCAAGGAAAAACTGCCTGTTAAAAGGCAGAAACCTAGGACAGATCCTTTGGCACTAGGTGGGTGGTTGTCTGCCTCGACCAGTTGGGGTGAGAGAGAGAGAGAGAGAGAGACAGAGAGACAGAGAGGGTGCCTGCCTCCCGAACCACAACTGAAAGCTGGTTCCACAGGAGAGGAGCTTGGTAACTGAAGGCTCTGGCTCCTGTTCTACTTTTAGAGACTATAGGAACCACAAGTAGCCCAGCATTCAGAGAACGTAGTGTTCTAGAGGGGTAATAGGGTACTATGAGCTCTTTAAGATTTGAAGGGGCCTGACCATGAAGAGCTTTGTAGGTGAGGAGGAGGAGTGTTGTAAAGTGTTGTTCAACCCAGTCTTAGCTCTTTATACATTCCATTTTAGATTATATGGATTTCCTATTATCTTATTATATCAGGCCCGTAAAGGACAAAGGGCACAGAGGTCATTGAGGACATTGTTTATATTATGGTGATTTAAGCTACCTAAGGGAAGTTTACATTCATCAGTGGAACAAATGAAGGAATCCTACTCCTGGCAGACAGTGTTTAAACTGTTGTTTCATTGTAAAATATTCAAAAATATATATCTACATTTCAATGAATTAAATCCAAATATGCATAAACCTGTATGGTAACCAATATATTTATATATCAATAAATAATACATTCAGCAGCAAATTAAAGCAACAAAAATATATAATTCAGTTTATTTACATATACAGAGAAGCATTTTCATTATTAAATATACACTATATACAATATGTACTTCAGTCACTCTGCCTGCCAAAGACAGAGACTAGTGGTTTGATTTCAGCTTGTACCTAAAGTCCACATCATAGGTAGGCTGGAGGATTCCCAGACCAGCACGGGACTGGTCAAGAGGTGGGACTTTGATGGCAGGGTCCAATAGTTCCATGTCAAAGTAAGACAGTACCAGAGTCAGGAACTGCTTGATCTCATACGCAGCAAAAAATCTGCCGGGGCATTTGGTGACCCCAGAGCCGAAGGGCATGTAGAAGTAACGCAGCCGCCGGCCGTTGCGATAAAAGGTGGTCTTCTCCTGACTATTCTCGTCCAGGAAACGGTCAAACTTGTACTCCTGCAGTATGGGGGGGGGAGAGATGAGTTTTCAGTAGGGCAACATATATTATAGTGATTTCCTGAAGAAGATAATTAATAATGACATAAGGATCTTACATAAGGATCTTCATAGATTTCTGGATCATAGTGCAACATGGGTGGATATAGGGCGATGACATCATCTTTCCTTATACGGTAAGCTTCTTGGTTGTCAAGGTGAAGCAAAAAGTCCTCCTTGGCAACACGCACATTCATGGAAGCACTGGAAAGACGCATGGCTTCTTTTATGATGCTGTCTGTAGACAGAAAGGATATAAAATAAAATTAGGTCCATAACATTTCTTTACTGCATTTAAAAGCACAATGTTTTTTTGTATGCCATGCAGGCAATGCCAGACTTACTTTTATATTTAACAATATTAGTTGTTGTACAAATAAATTGAGCGAAGCCTGCAAGCTAGTTCAGGCAGTCAACTCTAGCTGCGCTGTTATACACACATGACATGCCTCACTCCATAATCACTAACCAAGCGCACCCTTCCAATCTGGCGGTCTATTTAAACTGCACAATTTCCCAGCTCTCCCTCTGCTCTGTCAATCTGTTGCCTGCATCTGTATTGCTGCTGCTGCTCTGTAAACTATTGCTGCCTGCTGTGCTGTAAGCCCCACCACCATCCCAGCATCCACCTGTAGGCTCCGGCTAGGGGTTTTACTCATCAGTCCCCAATATCTCTGTGTAAACATATCTGCGGGGAATGATGAGGTCGGAGCCTAGACAGCAAAATCTAAATATGCTATACTGCTGTAATAAATATTTCAAACGTGAGTTGGCTGATTGAACTTATTTTCAAGTAATCTTACCTAGAACTGGCATGTTGTCCAGCTGGTCCCTGGTGAGGTTCAGTGTGGGGTCGCTGGGGTCAACCGTCAGACCTGAATCCTGCAGAACTTTTTGCACTTCCACACGAGCTGCTTTCATGGCATCTGGACTCCTGAGCACAGATAAAGGAGCCTGTTAGTCATGTTACTGTCACAGTTATTGGATAACTAGTTTTCCTTTCGGGAACAAATAATTTAATTTCACTGCAATTAGTGTCTAGTTTACTACAGTGGTATTTAAGTGTAACTGTGATGCTTGGTGCAGATGTAACACAGCTTTATTTATGCTGACTTTGGCATTAATATGAGTGTGTTACATTGACATATGAACAGTGCAGTAATTGTAGGCCTCATTATATAGAAGAACACAGTCCTTCAGTTTTGTGGAACAGAAACAGAGAATTATCTTATCTTCTCACTGACACTGTGCAGATAAACATCCTCAATTAACCTATTTATTTTAGCTGGAAGTTAGCACTTTAACCTCAGTCATTGTCTCAGTTCATATGCAGTGTGCTGGATTTCACAAACAAAATTATGAAAAATATATTCTTGTAAAATGTTAATTGGTTGTTCAATGTTGTTGAAGGAGATTATATAAAATTGTGGCACAATTCCATCGATCTACATGCTCACACAGACCCAGCTGAGTTAGCCTACTACTCATGTCAGATTTGTTGCAACACCATAATGCAACTCTAATCTGCTCCACTGAACCCAACACAACTTTCTACCTCAACTATCTCATCTACTTTAAGTGCATGGGGGTATGTGTACAATACCCACAATCAAGCTGTCTGAAACTGATAAATGTGACATAAGAACTGTGGTTGTACAGTACATGGGGTACAAGTCAAATTGACAAACATGGGTATCCTAAATCACAGGTTCTCAAACTATGGTTCTTGTACCACTGGTGGTACGCGAAGGAATTAAAGAAATTAAATAAATTCATTTAAAAACATAATGCTAACAAAATTTCCAATGAAAATGTGTAATGTAATATAAATTTATGAATGAATGAGTCTTGTTCAGGATTCAGCAGTCAACAATAAGTAATCTCCTTATTACCTGCCTCCTGTGTGAACAGTCTGTAGCTGAATAGGGTCGGCCTACACTGCTGTATTTTAATGTCAGTCATGGTGGTGGAAAGCTTGATATTTTCTGAGGTTGTACGTGCTGTAGACACAGTGTCCTAAAATATGCCTGCCAGTTAGACTGGGATAATGCGTTTTTGATATGGACTTGTCTTTCAACATAGATCCATTTATATGACTAATTTTAAATTTTAGCCACACTAGCCCCAAAAAACTTTTCTTGGTAGTAATTAATCACACCTGAGGAAGACAGCTCAATTTGTGATATGTCAACAGCGTGTTAGGACTTGCATAACCAGTTTTTTTGTTTTGTTATTGCATCACTCATATCTGCATTTTCCTAGTTATCCTTGGAACTGTTAAGATCTACCACAAAGTATAAATCATTTTTTGTAGTAAACTAAAATTAGTAGCTTGAAACTATAATTTAATCTGCAATTAGCCTGAAAAGCCTCAATTAACTCTTGCATACAATTTATTAATCCTTCTGCACAAGGTCAAAACTTGAATGCTTGAAATGGCAATTGTTCATTTGTTGGATCTAAGGAATGATCAAAGTTTGATTTGATTCCAATCGTTAGTTGTTTAAATGATTAATTTACAGTCAAGAGTAGCATAAATTAACCAGCAATATACAGATTAACCATATGTCTGTTCAAATAGTTGTGAGTTGTGGCTGCTTTCTGTTTTGTTTCCCAAGAGCCCACCCAGTAAAGAGAAAAGGACTATCAGCATACCTGATCATATAAAAGAGACTCCAGAACGTAGCAGGTAGGGTGTTAGCCTGTGAAGCCCAGAGCAGAGCGACGTGGGTCCTGGCCTTGCTCACGTCATTGAAGGTTGATAAGGAGTCATTTAGAATGATCCTCATAGAGATCAGATCAGACATGTTCTCCCTTTTGGACAAGTTTTCAGCATGCATGGTCTTTGCAAGGTTCTAGACATTTGAAAACAATAAGACATTCATACATAAGTTTCTCTTATGTGAAGCTTATTCTTATGCTTATTCGTCATTACATTTATATTTGGTCACTCCCTCCACTGATTGTTGCAGGAAAGCACACCAACCTCCCTAGCACTGTAAGCACTCTTGAAGACATGTATGGGCAGGCCAGCCACCAACGCTGGGAAGATCTTGTCAAACTCTTTGAAGTTCTCCAAAGCATTGAGCACCAAGGCTTTCTGAGCCGTCTGCCGAGCCTGACACTTATCTTCACCAAGCTCTTTACCGAACAGAGTCAGGTAGCCAGACTCAAACATCACCTGGAGGACAGCAGGACAGAAGGAAACCTGTTAGTTGGGAGCATTGTTTTTGATTCCAAATTGTAGGGCATGGAAGCTATGGAAAAGTTTGCATTTCCATAGTGATGGAGGCTCTGCTGTGTCCAAACTTGAATAGTAACTCATGATATACAACAATTACAGTTGACTTTAAAGTAAATTTGTGCCAATAGTCCACAATTACCTTAGGTCCAATAGCATACTATCTTCCAGTGTCTTAAATTCTCTCACTTCCAGTCTGAAGTCCAATTACTGACCTTGTAGCAGAAAGCAAAGATGCCATCCACCTCCCAGTGGTCCTTGCTGGGGCTGAGTGTGTCTGACCTCAGCATGACATCCTGGAGGTGGCCCATCATGGTCTCTATTAGGGAGGGCAGAGCCTCACCCTGCAGGGTCTTTAGAAAGGTTTGGTGGAGGTTCTCTGTGGTGTGGCCATGGCGAGGGTCAAAGCTGTCGTGGCCAAACGCCTGGTGAGGGAAGGAAGAAGAGGTTCAGGACCATTGAATGATTCACTGATAAAATATCCTTACATAACATAATATGAATAATAAAAGATAAAATCACATAAATTGACCTTGACAGATGTAGCAAAGTGGAACTTCCTCCAGTCCAGGTGTCTACCCTGTCTGATGACTGAATGGTAAGAGAAGGGGTCACACAGGAAGTGGATGTACTGGCCAGCAATCTTGCAGGTGAAAATGTGGCCGTACTTGTTCTGGCGGCTGCGGAGGAACTGGAGAGGGTTGGCCCCGAACTGCAGAGCACAGCCCAGATAGGGGATGAATCCATTCTCTACTGCAGGCTCACCAGGTTGCCTATGGACATTGACAAGAAAAAAAAAAGGCAGACAATATTCAGTACAAAGCCTTTTCTACACTGGGGCTCTGTTGTTTGTCTGTACAGAGAGGAGTTATGAGGAAAGTATTCATTCAAAGTAATCCCTGACATTTTGCTACTTACTGTTACTGACTGATATTCAGCAATAGTGATTCAACCAATTGTCAGCTCATGGAAGTTTTTACTTTCTGTCTTTGTCCAATGAAAACTCATGTCAAACATTTTTAAGAGGGTTTTTTTGCTAAATAAGACATAGGAGTACTTTGTGAGTCCACAAATATTGTTTGAATTCTACAGATAATCTGAAAACCAAATATAATTATACACTGTTTGCACTGAACAGGGTTTTAGGTTGCTGACCATGTAATTGGAGCCTCATTGGTTAGTATTAACTCTCAAATAAAAACATATAATGCATCCCAAAATACAAATAATAACAATAAGGCCTACTGTTAGATGCACCTTTTTTCCACTGACGAAGGCTGATGATGCCCTTATTATTATCATCATTATTATGCGTGTGTGTATATGGGATTGTTGAGTGCCTTGCATTGCTGCCTCTGTCCCGTCCCAGTTCCCTGAAGTTCAACCACAGCCCTCCTAACAACCGCAACATTTTCAAGTAATTACAAACCTGTTGCCAGTGTTGTTGAGGTAAAATACCAGCCCTAATGCCATTATGAGGCTCATGTAAACAAGATAATCCTTTATAACACATATGTTTTTATAACAACATTTTTTTCTGGATTTTCAAATCTGACTATGAAGTATTATCACTGTTACAAAACAATAACCTCCTAATCAGCTACTCCATTCTGAAAACACATGACCAGTGACTACACAGCATGAGGTTTGACAGCAGCATACTGGTGACAATGTTTGTGAATCAACAGCATACCAAACAAATACTATCATCATTACAAAAGCTTTTGCTTGATTAACACACTCTACATGTATATGTGATTATGTCAGTGGCCACATGCATCAAGCACTGTTGTTGCTTGCCTGGAAAAAAACTCTGTTGGTGTTGATCTGTGTACAATTAGCTAAAACTCTGTCTATATCAGGAGATTGCTATTAAAGTTAAATGTTGTAGACACACTATATAAGTACAAAATAGGAGCTTAAAGTTGAAGAAATGCCTAATACATTGCATCCAGCATGTCCAGTCTTACCTGCGTCGTATCCCCACAGCGAGCCAGAGAAGGCAGCAGAATCCCACCACCACTGCCCAGATCAGAGCGATGCTTATTATCATGATGAGGATGTTGATGATAAGAGGAAGATCCAACACAGAGGGAGGCTCACTAACTGCTGCTAATGCTCCACACAGATTACACCGACGGGAGCTGTGATTAACTAGATTTATTATATTGCCTGCTTGTTTTCCAAGCCTGTCTGTCACTGCAAATTGTGTATGTGTCAGTGAGCAGTGTTGTTTCAGCCTAGTTTGTGACAGGCACAGGCAGTGTGGCAGGTTTTTATACCTGCTTTGTCCCTAAGGGTGGACCCAAGGGCGGATTCAGAGGAATGGAATGATGTCACCAATTGGAGTCAGCCTCAACACAGGTCACAAACAAATTGCTTTTCCTTTTTTGTTCCAATCAAATTTACTAATCATTTTCTGCGAGATAATCCTGAATGGATTATTGGATGAAGGAAGGAGAGGAAGATTATATTTTAGCACCTGTCAGCTAAAAAGAATTTCTACAAGTTGTGGTGGTGATTAATGTTCGAACCCTGCGGAGGACTGTGAGATTGGATCAGTCTTGCCAAAAATTCTCATAAAGAAATGATTGGCATAAACAGTTTAGCCTTTTTTACCATGTAATAGAAAGGCTTATTTTAATTCCAGATTTCATATTCAGATCATTTTTAGAATTTGATGAATTATTATTTGAAATATATATATATATATATATATATATATATATATATATATATATATATATATATATTTTAAAATAAAGTCGTAAAATTATCTACCCTGTTGTGTTACTGCGATTTCTCTAGGAAATAGGATTCCCTGCAAGTGTGTGTGTGTGTGTGTGTGTGTGTGTGTGTGTGTGTGTGTGTATGTGTGTGACAGTGATGGCCTTGACTGGAGTCCATGGACAGAGTTACCTGAAGGACTGCACTATGATAGTGCATCTGCGTTGGTAAATAGATTCAAGGTCCCTACTGTGCTCCCATTGTGTGTGTTTGTGTGTGTGTGTGTGTGTGTGTGTGTGTGTGTGTGTCTGTGTGTGTGTGTGTGTGTGTGTTTGTGCAGGTGAAAGAACATTCCTTTCCTGCAACATGTGACAAGTGTGACCTGTTAAGACTTGCTGTTGTGCCAGTGAAGATAAAATCAAATTCTGAATTATATCAAATATTTTTGTTTGACCCACACTGTGACCCACATGATGAATGTCAACGGCAGAATTAAGAATTCATGTGACTGGAGAATCACATGAATTCTGCTATGACACAGTGCAGTCACATTGCAAACTGTGTCTGATTTAGACCACATATGAAAGTGGCCCGAATCAGAAATTAAAAAGACCAGGTTCCATGACTTGTGTTGTTCACACTGTCATGAAAAAATCTGATCTGAGTCACATATGAGTTAAAAAAAAATCTGATTTGGGCCTCTTTGGCCTGCACACAGCCTAAGATAAACATGAACAGACCTTTTTACTCTTTCAGACATTAATGTTAAGAATTGTGTAGGTCCATGTTTATCCATATACAAACCCACACCAGCCAGACTGAATATGGTGATTAATTCCACTCTCTCTGCTGCACAGCATGGCTGTAACTGTCACACCTTCCACCTCTGATGATCTTTGACTTTGTATATTCAAAATTACACCAGTCATGTATATACAGTAGATATTATACATCCTAACATGACCTCTTCTATTAAAGAAGAAAGAATAGCTGCCTCTTACCCATGGTGTCCATCCTGGTCCATAGCTATTTCCACTCTGCACTTGAGTAAATGTATCATTAAGGCCTCCTTTTAACTGTCACAGATATTGCATGTGACTGTTAGCTTTTTAAACTTTTTATTTTTAAGATACATGGGGCGTCCGGTTAACTCAGTTGGTGGAGCTGGTGACCCATATATGGAGTTGCTGCAGCGGCCCTTTGCTGCGTGTCATCCCCCCCCCGTCAATCTTCAGCTGTCTCTATCAAAAAATAAAGGCATGAAAAGGCCAAAAAAATAATAACTTTAAATATCAAGATACATTCTGTGTATGTGAAAACCTACTTGGCATTAAACCTTTTCATTCTGATTGTGTTGCTCAATAAACCCTTCAACCCTGGGTTGATACAGAGAAACACAATGGTCTTCTTTCAGAACAATGCCTGGAGGGGTTGACATGTACTGCTGATGAGTCCAAATATTCTTCTAAATTGGAACCTGCATGTGTCTGAGTCACAGAAACTGACTGGCAGATAATAAAGACAAGACAATAAAAAAAGAAAAGAGGTTGCATGAAGGGCACTGACACACCTTATTATTATACCTTATATGTTTTTAACCTCAGTCTGATTAAGCCATCTCCAGGGACATTTCCAGACTGCGGTGGCACAAATCGGGCATAGCATTAAGTGTGTCTCAGCTTTCCAGTCATTCCCACTTAATGCATTTCCAGTACTGTTTATGGACCCCAGTATGCAGAAATATTGAAATACATTACGCGAAAATGTATACCACATGCAAAACAACTGCATGGTTTTTGCCCCAATCTGATTAGCATAAAGGAGGAATGCCTGCAAAAGGCATAGCTTTGGAGCATTATTGAGCACCCGTCCCAACTTGCTAGCATGACATGGTTGGTACCAAGGGATAAATGGTAAATGGACTGTACTTGTATAGCGCGTTTCTAGTCTTCTGACCACTCAAAGTACTTTTACACTACATGCCACATTCGCCCTTTTACACATCGATGGCAAAGCCCGTCAAACAGAACCTAACTCATTCATTCACATTCACACACCGATGCACATTGGGAGCAACTTGGGGTCCAGTATCTTGTTCATGCAGCAGAAGGAGCAGGGTATCAAACCAACAACCTTCGGATTAGTGGACGACCTGTTCTACCTCCAAGCCATGCGTTAGGTCATCTAGTTTCATACGATACGAACAGAGTCCATTACTGCCTCTGAAAGAAGAAGCGGAATGGAAGAGTTTAGGATAAGGTGATGGTACTTGGGGTGAACTATCAAATTTCAGGGGTGACCAGTGCCACCCCTGTCCCCCCTCTGGACATGCCCCTGGCCATCTCTAGTCCTAGTTTCTAGTTAAAGTATGTTCACTAACAAAGACCACGCCAACAGCTGTATTGATTAAGAAAAGTTTATTACAAGTTATGACTCAATGTGGAATGCTGTGGGAGGAAAAATGGTTAATGGATGAAGGGGATGAAAGGATGAAGGGATGAAGGGGTAAGGGTTGAGGGATGAGGAGAAGGGGTCGAGGGATGAGGGATGAGGGGGTATGGGAAGGATGGGTGAGCATTGATGGAAAAGGGAGGAAGACTGGTTAGGTTGGTGGATGGAGGGAGAAATTCGGTGAAATGGTCACAGGGAACAGAGTGGGTGCTGAGACGCTGAATGAGGAAGCCGTCTCTTTAACTCTTCAAGAGCCCCAGTGGTTCCTGTGTTTGGATAAGAGAGGGAGAGACAATGACAAAAAAAGGGTTAGGGAGGGAGGGATGTAGAAAATGAGTCAAGGAGGGAGTGAACGGATAAGGTGTGCTTAAGTATGTTTTGAGCAGAAATGAGGTGAGTTCGGGGCGTAGTCTTTGTTCCCGAACATAGTTATAAAACTCCATTTAGACCCCAAAACGTGCCTAGTTTATACAGCACTTTTCAAAACAAGACCAATAGATCTTTTGCACAGCAGCCATTTTGACATGAAGTGGTTGGGTAAACAGGTGTTACCAATGACACTTATTAAAGTTCCCTTCTATGTAATGTAACAGAGCCTTTCCATGGTCAGTAGCAGCACCCTGACTCTGTTTGACTTGAGTGGCACAAAATCTTAATTTTTTCCACTTTCACACACTTATAGATATGTAGATGTGAAGAGATGGCTGAATGATGGGCTGCCAAGTAGGCAGTTAGGGGTTCGGTACCTTGCTCAGTGGCCCCTCGGCAGTGCCTAGGAGGATAATGCTGCTGTTTCATTTTTGACCATGACAAAACATGCTAGTTCAATCAAGAGAGACACATTTGAAAAGGAAGCTTAGAGAATAGTTTATAAGAGGATTAGACCACATTGTGGCATTATATTTTAAGATTAAGACTAATAGTCTAAAATGTGGCCACAACTGATAATTCAATCACATTATTAGAGAGAGAGAGAGAGAGAGAGAGAGAGAGAGAGAGAGAGAGAGAGAGAGAGAGAGAGAGAATGGAAATAAAGTTATAAAGTTGGCATGAAGATGGTTATGTGGTCAGACAAGTTACATAAGTTAAAGTGTATTCAAACAAATCTGATGTCTGTCACAATACTCTGCAGCCACTGGCACTGACAAGGTCATGTCGTCCATCAGTGTGCCACAGGTAATGAATGTTGATCAGAGATAAGTTTTAGAATTTTTTTTTTACTTTTTATAAGATTCTGTCTGTGTTATGAATTTATTTATATTTGTTGTTCTATTAGCTCTTTGGTTGTTTTGTCTTTTTTTAATGCAGGATGAGGCTGTTTATCAGAGTTAAGGCTCTGTGAATATAACTTGCGTTCAGATCTTCAGGGTTTACATCTTAAATAATAATCAAAACTTTGAAAACAAGACACCCCTTAAAATCAAGGAACCTGTGCACAAACGGATGGTGTGGTCTGTTTAATTATAAAATATGCAGTCAAATGTATGTCACTGTAGTACAAGTAGCACCCTTATAGTTAACTTATTTGCCAGGTCCTCTCATACTTTGAAATTGTTGTGTTATAAATACTGATAAAGAGGTATATACATTATCCTGCACAAATGCAGCTAACTGACTGTGTCAAGGTCAAGGTTTAGGGTGACTGAGGAGCTGTTGTATTAGTTTGTCAGTTTTCAGTTTCTTATCTGATAATCATATAAGAGTCCCACCTTTGCACCCTTGTCAGATCCTTCAGGGTTGTAGTTAATAAAATTACCAAGCAAAACTGTGGATTCTGCTCACTGTTAATTCACCACTGCAAACATGGTTTTCCATAAAACTGGGCTGTCTATGCAGTAGAATTTTTTTAATTGGTGCACACGACCAGAGAACGTTGCTTGAAAATGGCTTGTTATGCCTCTTTCGGTATCTGATCTATACCTCCTGCCTGATCAGTACTGCAGATGTGCAACTTTCAACAGAGATGAGAAGATGGCTCCCTCGTTATCTACTTCAATTATCAGCTCTGGAAAAAAACAATGTTTTTTAATGTAAAAATTCCTTACTTTTCAGTGTTTGCTAAGGTAGCATTAATAA